TCTGAAGATATACATAATTTACACCACTGTATACCTCTGAAGATATGTGTTATCTACAGCACTGTATACCTCTGAAGATACACATGATCTGCTGGACTAAAAAATAATCGCAGTAGCGAACATAAGGGAAAATTCACAATCATGACTAATTACTATGTAATTTTGCCTAGACCACAAAAAATTCAGCTAAGTTGCATGATGATTTAATATTTTGTATATATCTCTTTGTGGTATTAAACAGGGTCTCACACATGCCAATCAAACACACTGAGCTACATCTCTAGTCCTTGTCCTAATATGTCTTCTAGTGGGCAGTTGTTCTTTGTGGTAGGTTATTAGTTCATAAAAATATTAAAGATGCAATTTAATCAATACTGTTCTAACACAGAACAAATTCTGAATTTATCAGAATAATTCTGTCAAAAAGGGTACAACTTCACATAAAAGCCAGAATTTTAGCAAATGATATGAGTAGCTAATATCAGGATGATTTAAAAATGCAATTTTCTCTTCCTTAAAATACAGATATGATCTTTGACAAAAAATTCAAAGGAATATGTAATGTAAATAAATTCAAACTAAAAAGTAAGGAAGTGTAGATAGCATATGGATATTCCGTTGATCAGAAATATGGATGACATTGGCTTTGAACTGTCCACCTCTCCCTCCTTTCTATAGAAAGCCAGCATTGTCCTGCTCAGCAAAAAGCACCATTGAGCAGTTAACTGTGCATGGTTCTGTACTTGATGCTATAAAATAAATTCTACATAGACACGGCTGTTAACTTTTACAGCCTCGGATTTTCAAAGAACGGGGTGTTTCACAATACTGCAATGTTTAAGAAATGGCATGTAAACCTTAGAGGGTAAACTCACAATGTACATAAGAAATTCTAGTCCTGGGATCTCTCCACCACAGAGACCTAGACATAACTGAAAACCACGATTTCCTTGAATCTCTTTCTGTGATGGCAGCACCGACAGCCAGCCCTTCAGCAGTTGAAGTGATGTATACTCTTGAAGAGAGTACTGTGTCAGCTACTTAGGTCCTAAGAGGGCGTTTCTCACTGTTCTTTCCCTTCAACCATCCCTAGGTCTGTCTCCTCCCCATTGAAAGGATGATGGGAAGGAGAAGGTTGGTTTCTTAATGCTTGCTTAGAGTACATGTGGAGGGCAAAACTGTACTTCAGAACTTCTTCCTTAAATTCTATTGAAACTTGAGGGTGTGAATTTACTTTCTGCTCTCTGTAATCCCTGTCAAATTGTAAATATTTAATTAGTGAAATGCTATGCAATAAAAAGTTGTATTTATTGGTTAAGTAGGGAAGAGAAAAAGCAAAGACAATGTCAAAGATAATGTTAAGCATTTGAGTTGCATGTGAACCAGCCAGTGTCCGAAGGTATTACATGTGATACAGATGCATGTATCATCCTCCTCAAGAAGGAAAAGTTGAGGACAGGGGATCCTTGGGCATGCCCAGCCTTACTTTCTAAGGAGCTTTCAGGCTGTAGTACAGGAGAGAGGATCTGAAAGGCATTTCTCAAAGAAAAGACAGGAGGTAGGCCTTGGGAATTCCAGGTTGGCTCGATTCACACAGTATAGTTTAAGGGAGATGGGACTTAACCTAGAAAGAACTCTGAAGCTCTATAAATGAGTGTTTAAGACTTTGCTTGTCTGACCAATGCTTATGAATAAACTACATGTCAAGGGAAAGAAAGACTAGACATTAGCCATCTGAACTTCTCAGTTCTCAAACTGCGCTATGAATATTTTATGTTCACACAGCAACGGGAAAAGATATACTTGGTATTTTCTGAGTAGAGTCCTCAGAAATTTGGGTCTGATAGTAAAGCTAAAAGAAATCTAGGTTACAAGTTGTAATTAATTCACATGAGTAAGACTTTAAAACAAGGCTTAAGATAGTCTCATTTATTTCAAGTAACCTACATTTTCCTCAAACAACACAGTCTTTAATAGAATACAATACAAATTGAACAATTGATAATATAAAATCAAACTGTGTGTCAATAAATAAACAAATACCAAACTAATATTGAAAAAAACGGCTGATGATTCAATGGTTAAGAGTTCTAATTGTTCTTGCTAAGGACCCGGCTTTGGTTTTTAGCACCTTACAAGGCAGCTCAGAACTGTCTATGGCTCTTTCCAGTGCTGTCTATGCCCTCTTCTGACTCCACAAGCAAATGATACATGGATGACTTTATTAAAATTACACTTTTTAATCCTATATTAAATATTTTCTATTAATTATTTGAGAATGTTATACAATTAATCTTGACCATATTCAGACCCCCAAGAGAAAAATATTGAAAGGATAGATTAATGATGAAAATACTACTTACTATATGTTATTGTAAATATGAGAAATGGAATTTTTCAAAAGATAATAACAAAAATATGAATTTTTAAAGTTGGAAAATGCATCATTAAGTAATTAAAGGTGGGGTCTGGAAAGTTGGCTCTACAGTTAAACAAATCAATGGTTCTTCCAAGAGACCATAGTTAGATTTCCAGAGAGGATCATAATTAGGTTTCCAGAGAGGATCATCGTTTTTCAGCACCTACATCTGGCTGCACACCGGGTCCTTAAACTCCAGATCCAGGTTGTCTGACGCCCTCTACTGGCCTCAGTGAAACTGTACTTGTGTGCACAAACCCACACAGACAGGCAGCCAGACAGCTCTACATAATAAAAGGTAAAATCTTAAGGAAAATGTAAAAGTA